TAGCAAATTGACTCCGCTTTCGTTCTAGCTTGCTGCTTCAGATTCCTAGCTAGCTTTTGCTTTATCAACAATTTTTCTCCATTCTCCAATGGTTTGTATTTGGCTTTCGAGTCATACTTTATCAGCTCTTACAGATAGAACGCGACCAGCTGGTAATCCCACCTCAGCGTTGAACCGTAGTTATAAGCTTAATAGACGTGACAAAGAGCCAAGCTTGCGCTAGAATCGACAACAAAGCTTATCCATCATGAATGCTGGTTGCAATTAGAACATCATTGGATCAAATCCGATGGCTACGCTACTGGTAATTCAGAAAAACAAGTAGCTCGCGGAAGGTTGTTCCTCCACTTCTTGCCGCTGCTGTTCGGGCTATCCTTCCCGAGTGATATCATTTGATAACCTCGATTATTGGTTATCAGTGAGCCCAATTCCCGTGGGAACGGCTTTCAACTTTCTTTGTTTCCGCTCGAACCGGACAGTCGTGACCCGACTGTCCGTCACCGCCGCAATGACACCTCTTGACATCGCCGAACGCCACTTCCATTAGTCACATAATTATGTCCTATATGAGGCGATTACCTGAACATTTTACGGTTTCCTTAACCAGTTCTCCGTAACCTTTTCTGCACCATAACTACATATTCTCACTGTTCGTCGAATTGTTGCTGTTGTTTTGTTGTTATTGTTGTTGTCTTTGTAATATGAAGCGTTTCGGAACCATTCTGAGACTCTATAGAGGAGTAATTCTGGTGAAATCCCATTCAGGATGCGCCATGCTCTATAAATCATTAGCATTTTTGAGACTTTGTGGATTAACCAAGTGTCTGCAAAGGACTATGTTGGGCTGTTGATGCCAATGGGTCTCTCAGGCTTATCATAGGCCCTGTAGTCACTTCCACTCTATAAAGCGAAAGTTTCGAAACAAAGTCAAAATAAGTAGCCGTAAAAAAGGAAATTTGAAATGCTAGAACTATCGATCGCCAGTTATTTGTTGGGATTTTCAAATGCCCATTTCAAAAACAAACATCTTCGAAAACACTCGAAACGTGCGTCGTAAACAATGAAGACACATTCTCGTATAGTGCGCTACTGTTTGACAGCCGTATGTGGCATAGTGCCAAACGTCATCTAAGCTGCTTACCGAACTGCTTTCTCGTTGATTGTTCTGTCTACGGGTGTTGACAGTGTGACTATTTGCAGTGTCTTTCGGATTAGTACACCATTTCACTGTGTCTTTCACTTTGTTTTGACTTCCCTTCGGGTCTTTGCTGTTCTTCCCAACCGACTGCACACATTTGATTCTACAGCAGCTAATGCTTTCTATTGGAGGATTTCGCCCAAACTTCAATTTCGCATTACTCCGAGTGATGACAAAGATGTCTTTTGGCATTGATCGAACCCGTTTTGGGATGCGCCAGGCATTTGACTTAAATTCAGAATCATAGTGACGTTTTGAACGCGTATTTGGCCTTTACTTGCAGTGGCCCGTCGATATTAGAGCTTTTCTCCTCCTAGACCAATTCACGACTTGGATAGATGGAAGGTTCATTGGCTTGGGAGTGGGGGTGTCAAGGCGAGATTCGATCCCCGGACCAAATTTATGATTATAGTGCGCCACTTGGCACCACACCACCTCCACCCGTGGTGTATTTCTCGCGCACTTATTCAATATTCAATATAATCGCGAAATTTGCGTGAATTTACATATTGCTTACATTTAAACAGTCCCAGCTTAAAACAAAACGTTACGATTGACCCCATAGCCTGACCGACCAGCCCAATCTTGAAAACAAACAGAAATGTAGGCGAACAATAAGAATGCTCGCCTTCTCGTAGTAATCGCTCCACTACTTATTGAACTATCGATGTCATACCACAGAACTGTTCTGTCTAAACGAGCAAATGGCTCCAGTACAGGGTGAACTCTTCTACTTTTCCATCTGAATACGAGAAATTCATCTGGTGTATGTATGGGCAAAGTGGACCGATTGAAAAGCGCATGGTTCCGGTATCAAGTTCTGAACTGGCTAGACCGAGTGAGGTTCTTCCTTGCATGGTTAGCCGTTCCTGACAGAAATGCTGTGTGTTAGACACTGTCCGCCCTTTTTCAGTCATTTTCAGTCACCATATAGACAGGATTTGTTCTCATGTGGGACTACCTCACTGAAAGCGTTGTTGCAAGGTGCAACCCAAAAACGACTTTAAGCCAAGAAAAAATTAACTAGCTGGACGAAAAAAAGCATTCTTTGAAAATGAAAGAAAAAACAAGTTTAATAAACATATAATTTGAAAACTTTTCATCTTATCGGCTCGGACCAACGGATCTATTCCAGCATTGGTGATAACGTTTTTCTGTTTCCAATGCGCTTTGTTCTTCCGTTCCTAGTCAGGGGTTCTTTTTTTTNNTTTTTTTTCCCAGGAGTCACCCCTTTCTAATACAAGAAAGACCAGCTTTGTAAAAAAAAATGTTGTTTTTATTTATTGTTTTTATTTTTTATTTTTTTATGTCCCTCTAACCTCATAATTAGCTTGCCGGCTTTCCCTGCACTACTCTGCCTGCCTCTTTGGCTTTATTCTTTAGTCCGTTTCAGAAGAGAAACCATCCCGAAGCAGTGTCCACGTTCGCGTTTATCAATAAGTCACGAGAATTTTCCTTCCAGTTGTGACTTTAAATTCTATTCTATTCTAGACAACAGATCTTCCGACTGGCTCCTTTTTTCTTGATTTGATTTCCCTTTTACTTCTTTTGCCGTGCAAACACCGTTGTTTTCTATTTCACGTGCTCTGAATCTACTCTTGCCCTAAGTCCTTCTTCTCCTTCCCCGCTTAATTCTTCTCACGGATTCACGGTTCCTGGAAGGATAACGCTTTATGGAACATTTCATCCTTCTTCGTCGTGGCTTAAAGCCAGCTGCTTGCTGCTGGTTACGGAACGACCCGTAACAAAAAACGGCCGACAATCCTCTTATGGGCTTTAAAAACGAGCCTCTACACGGATACATAACAGTTGGCCTCATTCCATCAGTTTTCTGATTGCCACGAAAATGCCCTTTGTTTTCTTTTGGTTCACGTCCTTCCACAAATCTTCCGCCGTTCTTCTAGACTGCAATGTTCCTGATAGTGCCTTCATATCAATCTCATCGTCCGTTTTTCCGTTGGACTACGTCCTTCAGCACAGTCCGTTTGCCGTTGGGACTTCTTGCCGCTACAGTTTCTCCATTATTGAAGAATCTCCGCTTTTTGTAGCCACCATATGACATCAACAAAAGGTTGAAGAAGACAGTACAGCTCCTTCATCACGAGGCAGGCATTCCTTTAATTAGGTGATAATCAGAAAGTAGCCGACGTAGCTATCAGTTATCACAACTGCTGAAAAGCCTCGACTCATGGCTTCTTGCAAATTCCCTGACTGATAAAGTTCTTATCAGTGACGCTGAGCCCTCATCTTACCCCTCAAAGAACATGTATTGATCGCTTATTGATCTCGTGACTTCCTGATACTCGAAGACTCGAAAGGCCTCCGAGCGATCAATCGATAATACTCAAACCCATTTGAATCGATCAATTGGTATCAAATGAACGCATCAACGAATCCTATGTCAAAGCCGGTAACGACGGACTACTAGTGACTCACTCCCTCAAAACACTACCCCGTGTATGTTGACATTTGTATTCGAGTAGACATTTTCTTCGTCGTTCCCGTTGACGCACGTCGGTCGTCTGTGATGTTTGCAGACGGTCGCTATGGCCTTTTGATGAACTGTGTAAAGCGGTCCTTGGTTACTTTCTAGAGAGCAGTGTACATATACAAGATTTACTGTCGAAGAGCAACTGGTTAAGCATATTGCCGACAGGATCGCTTCGATGACTGATACAGTAGCCATCTCGGCAGCAGTTGGAAGGGTCCCACATTGGCAAATTTCTATGCCTTGCGGACTGAAATCCTCAGAAACAACTGCATCACTTTCAACTGGTTCGAAATAGCAATCTAGAAAGTCCAGTGGTCAAAAGCGTCATCGCCGGCTCCTGTTGGAATATAATGTTAGATATAAATACACATGGCACGAACGGGTACACACGTCGAGCGAATATGCCAAGAATGACAGCTGACGAAAATCTCTCCCANTATTGCCGACAGGATCGCTTCGATGACTGATACAGTAGCCATCTCGGCAGCAGTTGGAAGGGTCCCGCATTGGCAAATTTCTACGCCTTGCGGACTGAAATCTTCAGGAACAACTGCTTCACTTTCAACTGGTTCGAAATAGCAATCTAGAAAGTACAGTGGTCAAAAGCGTCATCGTCGGCTCCCGTTGGAATATGATGTTAGATATAAACACACATGGCACGAACGGGTACCCACGCCGAGCGAATGGCCCAAGAATGACAGCTGACGAAAATCCCTACCAACCGATAGGTGTCTTCCAATTGAGTCATTCTTTATATCAGAACGAGGAATTCACCCTCTGGGAGATGGACTGGCTCGCTCAATCCAATAAATCTTATGCTCTGTGCAACAGCTTCATTTCAAAGTAAAGTCTGTTCATCATCAGTCATAAGATATTAGGGAGATTCTGGCGTCAGCCAATCCCGTCTGAAGGATGCTCCGCCGCACTCGAATTCCATTCAAAATCATTCTTGCGGTGGCCAGGCAATGTTCAGGTAGTATTTTAACCCTTACAGACGAGTCTGATACCAATGAACCAATCCCGGAGACATGTAAGGTTAGGTTACCCTAGACGGTTATCGAGCCGGGATTCGAACCCTCTACCATGTTTGCGTGATAGTGCCTCACTTGGCACTACACCATTTTCGCCTCATCCATAACAAGTATATCCTATCAGTATTATTTTTGCTGCCCAACGAAATACAAAATATAATTTCAAACATGTTCTCGAATTCCCTGGGAAAGTCAAATGCACGGTGTATCCCAACAGTTTAAATCAACTGTAAACTTAATATGGAGTAATCATCGAAGAGCATTCCCACCCTAGCCATTTTCATTTCTCACGTGTAACCCAAAGTCCCACCTGATCGTTAACCTCGGAGCCGGAAATTGGAACGGAATCCGAAACATACTGTAGCTTACTGGCGCTCTTCTTACTCCGCAACCTTTCACCTCCGGAAAACGAGTCATTCTTCGTCTTCGATACTTCCTCTCTCTTTTCCCGTTCACGAGATGTTTGTAATTTGAGGTCGAACATGCTTAGTGTAGTGATGTAAAGACGAAGGGAGGCGTGTAGATTCGAGAGCCCGACGACCGCGCGTAACTCAAGTGGTTGCGGTTTCTTAGAGACCCGAGGCACCTCGTCACCTGTTGAAATCGTTACGTTCAACCCCGGAATACCATCCTTTGCCCTTTAATGGAACGGGTTCTGGAGAGCTGTTTTTTACCGAATTAAGCCGCTGAATTCATAATAGGTCCTAATTTAGCTCGACTAATCACCATTATATTCTGGTGGTACTTAGCAGTTGGAAGGCTTCGCAAAGGGGGGCCTAAGTAAGCATGGGGAAGACTCAGGCCTTTCGTTCGATCAATACTCCGAAAAGTTAACTGTGCGCGATTACTAAATCATCTAATCAACTATGTCTCATCCGAAAAAGTGCCGTCCCGCTGCAGAAAGACCTTGGTTTCTCCAGTTGTCTAACCACCTGCTCGCCAAACAACCACTCTGTCGGCTGGTAAACTCTTAAGACTTACAGTTTTGTTATTTCATAGTCCTTGGAATTGATTTAGTGTGTTTGTTAGAGTTCATAGCACAAACTGACAAACCAGTCTTACTGAATACAGTACCCCTAAGTGATAATAAATGATTAACCCGTTTGCAAGGGTAATGTCTTACAAATTACCCGAGACATTTATCAAGAAAATAGGTCTACGGAGGTTTTTCTTTTGTCTCGATCAAGGGTCAAGGACGGCTGGGGAGGTTTTAAGCCCCGTGTGCCGTTCTTCTTCGAGAACAATACATCACATTGTGATCGATTGACCTCATCCACTTTACTACGGAGCGCTACGGACGTCAATTCTTCTTTTGATCACCGTCATTGATGGGTTTTTTGCGGTCACATCCGTCTTCTACCATATTTTCTGATGACACAGTTATTCACCTCACCTGCTGCTTTGTTTACTTATTTATTTTATTACTCGTTTCTTCTAAAAACTGAACGGTTTCTAGTCAAGATCCAAGTCTTCTATCTCCTCACTGTCGATTAGCTCGTCTCAATCTTGTAGGGAGAGGAGGGACATGTCCCTATGTGAACCTTGCAAGGCTTTGTGCGGACAAAAGGGATCGTTGCCAAGCCTCAGCAATTCTGACTGAAATTCAGACGCAAGGCTCACTCCAAATAGCTTATCTAGCATAGAAACGAATGAATTCCCTATCGTTTATCTACTACCTCTCTGGATGCGCCATGCACCATTCGGAGAGTATATGAATTTGATCGCTTCAGTTCGAGCAAAAGTGTGCGAAAACTCGCCGCAACACTATCAATCAACTGGCTACTCTAGGGTTGAGGGCTTGTCGGACTGGGTGGGCCGTAATCCTCGTTCCCTATTTGTGAAAAGGGCGCCATTCGTCAGTAATCCACCGTCGCCCCTCAGCCTTTTACCCTTTACTCGTTCATTTTACTACTTCCCATTCACTCATATATCTATCAATTCATTTTTCATTTGTTTATTTTCTAATTTGACTGTTTACCTGTTTGTTGAGCCATTGATGAGGCGGGCTTCTTTGCTTGTTTATTTGTTTGTTTTCATGTTTACAAAGGCTGGCTACTTACTTGCGACTTAGGAAGTCCCCTGCTCATTACTATTATAACAACAATTACCCGATTGCTTTTCTTTCTTCGTATTTTGCAAACCCGTGGGCGTTTGGGCCAACAATTTAACGGAAAATCTAAATAGGGATAATATTCACAATTATTGATTTTTTAATAAACTGGTTATAATAGCAAAAAATTGCAAGAATCTATTTTTTTCTTTTCTGAAGGTTTCAAAAACCTGCGCCCTTCCTTATGTGTCGGCACGTAGAGGACGGGGGTGCCTTCTCATGACCCGCCATGAAACCACATTAAACGTTCCGCCCGGCCGCGACGCACACGCACAAGTGTCACTAGGGACGGGAACCGGCGAGATTCTACCGAATTTTTCTATTTCGCATAAAGTGACTCATATGGATACAAAAGCTGCTTACGAACCCATTTTACGATCTCCAATGAACAATAGTCTTTTATTATCTCAGGCATTTCCCAGTCATGCACTTTGTTTCGCTGCACCCCTTATAGTCAGTGAACGGCCTCATAAATGCCTTTGAAGGCCCTGATAAGACGGAAACTCAGCTGAGTCGTTCCAATGTATTATTATGAGCGGCCGCCGCCGTGACCGTCATCACAGCCGTTCTTTCCCCTCGTAAGCGGATCTCACCCATTGAATCAGATTTTTGGCTTTTCAACGCTGTTAGGCGTTGGAATTTGGCAAATCGTCGATTCAACAGAGCATGATTATGCTTCTTCTTGAGCCGACCTTTCATTGTTGATTGTGTTTTTTTTCACGGCCTAGCCCGAGTTCCAGCGTAATACCCCAATCTGCCCCTGACATGGCCCCTATTCCTCAACTAGTTCTTCTGTAATAGACTGCGAATGTGACTGGAAATGGAAATCTTTATGAAATGACTCTTCTTCCGGGTTTTCGTTGGCACAGGCCCTTCCCTGTCTTTTGAGAAGCCCAATCCCAACGAGGCTCCGATATTACCTCATCTAAGGCTAGGCTTTCTCTCAAGGAGAAAAATAACCCTCACAACTCATGACTAAGTAATTGAAATTTTCGTTGTTTTCGTGACCCCCTTAGGATGGTTCCTCATACATCGACAGTAACAGTAGACAGAATATGCGAAAAGATTAGATACATATCGATTGAAAAAGTCAAGGTGAGGAATCGATAGATACGTATCTATTCTTTTTCGTGAATCCGCCCATTCTTCCAGAACACCGTGAGAACGAAATCAACAAATCGATACGTACCTAATCCATCTCGGGCACCAGCGTAGATATTGAAATTCACTCCAAGGAACAAATTGATCCACAGCGGTGGCTAATCTAGAGCCTGGCCAGCTGCCGTTGAAGGACGATATTTCACAGTTCCTTCAAAAACCCAACTTGCCGACAAGTTGGTTCTAAGGGGTGGATTAGACAATGAACCCACCTTGGTCCGAGATCGACCTTATGGGACCCACCGCAGCAGGTCGGACTATGGCAGATGGTACAGCTCCAAGAATCAGAAGAACAGAAAAGCTTGGACGGCAGGGTGTAGCTGGGTATCAGGGCAGAGAAACATGCCGACTGAAGGTGGCAGCGACTGTGAAATCGATGTAGGTCAAATTGCAAGGGTTGCAAATTCTTTTCAGATTGACTCCAGAGAAGGACATCTCCGATGAAACTGGTCCCTTCCAACAGCACTTGGGAGAAATCCTTCCCAGGTTTCATACTACCACCACAAGTACGTGGTGTAAACATTCAGTCATTCCTACTCATCATTTCATCCACTTGATCAAGACGACTGGTCACCTTTGATCTATCCCAATCGACTATGCGGTGGGCCTTTGCAAATCAATAACGTGCCCCTCACCCCTAATGATCGAAAGAAAGGAAGCTCCGTGAAAGTTTAACAAATTTGGTAAACTATTGTAATCACAACTGTAATATACAGTTAGTAATCAGACCTCTTCGTTCCATGGTACTGGATAAGTGCAGAAAAACCCTTTCATAGTTTTTTTTTTCTTTCATAAGCCTTACTAGATAGGTAGCTACCAGTTCATTTTACATTACTAACTTCAGCTCCTCTCTGAGGAAGAGAAATTTTCTTCTATGATGGACAAAAAGGGTGATTTTTGCGAAAATGTGTCTAAAATTGAAAAAAATCAGCGCTGATATGCTTGGTTGAGTGATTTGCCCTGGACATTTGAAATTTGATCGTTCAGGCAAATAGACTAAGTTTATCAGGCATTTGTTTTAACCAAAACTTCCACTTCGTAAATGAGCCATGTAAAGCGTTTGGAGATAGTCAAGGCCTCCGGATGTGCCATGCACTCGATCCTCTAGAATTTGATCGCCGAAAAAATCACTCCGAACGAATCAAGAACTTTTGGACCGTTTAGTTCGAAAAATAGCTTTGCTTCCATTTTATTTTGAGATTTCTTAATGTTGATGCTATCCTAAACTTCTTCATACTGCAATACTTTAATTGCTTCCACTAAATCAGTTGATGTAGATCCACCTCAGGAGAACGTGGAATGCATGGCGCACACCTTAAGGGTTTGCTACCAACGCATACCTCAATTCTTTTATCTACCCAATGAAGCACATCTTATATAGAAACCGTGTCCACAGATTGCTTACCCCCACTCTTGTTTGGGGAAGTAAACCACAAAAATAGGCGTCCGCCAGCTTTCGTTTGCACCATGTAATCGAATCCAATTCCTCTGGGTCCACCAAAGAAGTCATGTTCATGGCGCGACTAGGCTACACTGATTGACTGCCTCCACATTGACCCTGTGCCATATTCGGACCTGATTTTTTATCGTTTTCGGCTTCGAACCCCATTTTAAACGACCATTGACGACCTTGAATTGATCTCAACTAAATTAGTTAGATAGTTGGACGTTCTTTGCACGCACTCCCCTTGAACCAGTTGCCTGAATTTTCGACGAAACGGTCAGGCAAACTGATTGGTCGTTACGTGACTGATTCCCAGGTCACATCATTCCACTGTACATATTAAATCGGGCCAAGTCACATGTGCCTTCTTCGTCATCGCTAACTGATGGTGTTCCGCTAGCAGTGGCGAATGCCATATAACTGAAGGTCGCCAGTTAAATTATTTTCTGCGACAGCAACTTCATTCACTTCTACGGCAACCTATAGTGACGTCACAGAGTAAGACACCGTTTGATGTGTTTATTTATTTATTATTTATTTTTAGTGGCAGAAATAAGGTTGGCCATAAGGCGTCGTTATCGCCATAGTTGGCCATAAAGCGTTGTTATCGCCATGATCCAAGGATTAAATCCTGGTTTGACATCGCCCAGGCCAGCGGAGCTTTGTAAATTACTTTTGTAAGAAGAAATATCCTTAAAGCAGTCTTACTTTTTTGAAAGCGAACTTTACTGAGGTAAGGGATCATCCCTGCTAAGGGTGGCTCTACATGTCTCTATTTTTATTCTCTTTCTGTGAGTTACATTGTGGACCGAAAACGTAAAATTCCTAGGATTCTAATTGAAAAATGATTGCATGGCTCAACCCAAGAACACCGATCAATGCCACCAAATTCTTTTTTTTTTAATTAAATTATCCTGTGCTGCCCTCTTTTCGACACTCTTCCAGCTTCAAACTATACCAGATCAATCGAATCAAAGTAAATACTATTCCTGTATAGGTTCTCTAACTATTAGGTTGATGCATAATTATTGCGGATTTTTTCGTGGCTCTTTTTCTCTCTATAGAATTTGAATATTGGGTTCGGGTTTTTCCTAGAAATGATCTACTTGATTTCCTCTACAAGAATATATTCAAAAAACCATCCCCATATTCGCAAAATTAGGCTTTACTACCTCGAGAAAGATTGGAAGGCGGCGCAGTTCCGCCATCTCAGTAACTTTTCAGCGATCGTTCATTAGGCGATCTAGTGAAAGTACCTATGATTTCCTGGCGGTCGAACACGATTATTTTGATATTTTCTATTTCCCCTGCATTTTACCTGCCTCTATATATTAGGTTGATGCATAATTAATGCGGATTTTTTCCAGCATATTTCACTCAAAGAAACTATAGAAATACTAGGCAAAGACATATTCAAATTCGGAACTTACNGGCGGTCCACGCCTTGACATCGGCCATCAAGTCATCCAAATCGACGGGAGTTCTATTCTCTGGCCATTTTTCCAACGAACGGTTGACGAGATAATCCATAAAAGTTCCTGCTGGTGGATATGGCAGTTTTAGGAGCAGGCCCCATTTCTTGGTTGGCTCTGGCTGATCGTTCGATCGCCGAAAAGTTACTGAGATCGCGGAATGACTGGGCCACCTTCCAATCTTTCTCGAAGTAGTTAAGCCTAACTTCGCGAATATGCGGATGGTTTTTTGAGTATATTCTTGTAGAGGAAATCAAGTAGATCATTTCTAGAAAAAACTCGAACTCAATATTCAAATTCTATTGGGAGAAAAAAAGCCGCGAAAAAATCTGCAATAATTATGCATCAACCTAATAGTAATGGAACGTATTCCAGTCTAGCGTGCTTTTATCACCCTCCTATAAGCTTTAAACCATGCTTTGTGGCAAATTCGATAGCAGTAGTATAATTATAACTTCCTCCATGTACTAGTAATCATATCACTTCAGTGGTAGACTTTCGGAAAAACTACTTCCGGATGGTGGAACTCGGAGGTGCGAAGATTTCCTAATAGCCGTATAGAAACCGCTAAATCAGCGAGGAACTTCGACCAAAGATTGTTCCGGTAGTCGTTCGATTGCGTCAATTTTACGACTAAAAATCACTGCGAACGGGAAGTTGGGTGTAAATCGTCTAATTGAACACGGTACGCCTAGCGGAGCGTATGGCCAACCGCTAAAGTGTTGTTACAGAGCCCACCTTGGCTGCCAGCCAATAAATCAACAGACCTGGCGGTGAGTAAACAAACAGGACTGGGTGTCTCATCTTCATGAAAGGACTCAAGCAGCCGACCATGTTAAGCTGGTGCTAATGATATCGTCGCCACCATCGGCGGAGGCAACAAAGCCCAGATTCAATGAACCGGTTCGTCTATGGCGCCGGTTGGTGCCAATGACATCCAAAAACGCCTTCCTCGAAACAAACAGCTGGTCATTGTCGGAGATTTATTTCCAAGAGTCAATTGGCTAGAACATCCCTGATTCCCGTCCCATTACACGTCGCACCATATTACATTAATGGAGTCGCTTCGATCATTCTGCTTGTAAGTCGTTCATTGTCATAGAACCTGCTGCTGACGGATTTATACCCTTTTCACGAGACCTTATTAGTGCTCCTCTTGAAGGTTGTACCTGTTGTCGGTTATAGAAGAAATCCCATGTTGACTGGGTATAGGGCTTCCTAGTCTCAACGAGGGAAGAAGTGAGGATGACTGCACTTCAACGGGACCCAAATTTCACTGGGCACTAGATTCCCTATATAAGGAGAAGTATACTTAGAGCTAAGGCTAGGCAACCAGCTATGGCTAGGCACCCAATTTGCCACGGATGACGCTTCCCATTTGTCTTTTCCATAACTCTTAGGGTCGAGTTTCTCAACAGCAGTCAACAAATTACCAATCAATCCAGAAGGGGAAGAGGAGAATCCAGAGGCTTCTATTGAGATCGTAGGATAGCTTCTGCTGATCGGGGATCTGGCTGTGTCGTAAGAGTTAGAGTGAAACCGAAAAATTATCCCAATAAAATCCGTCAGGAAAGACGGAGGACCAGGCAAGGTCCCGAGCAACACATTCTTGACGACGACACTGGATTCCCATCATCTTGACATACTGCTTCGGGCCTACCCCAGCCGTTCCAAGTTTCCTCTCAGGATTTCATTACGTGAATTACGCTCTGGGCCCGATTTGTGTTTTAGTTTGTTCTAGTTGTCCTTTTTGGTGAGTCAGTGTAATCGTCTGTGCCATGATCCCGAGTGATTGTGAGGTTAACCCCTAACCCGTCTCTCCCTCGTCTTTCTAATTTGGCACATAATCTCTGAGGGTAATCTTCCCTTTTCTTCCGAAGAGATAGTGGAACTGAGGCGTCATCTCCTGCAATCGAACCTATTATAGTCCCAAAGTGCAGTCACCTCAACTGTACCCCCAAAAAAAGTCTTCTGTAATGATAACCACGTGTCAGGGTTGCCGAATCACTCATAGCCCCTGTCTTGAGTTGCTGATAACAGACCGTTCGTTCAACGAATGGCAATCCTGGATCATTACTCAGTTGATAACGAACGATTTGCTTCATGTTCCAGTGGGTTCTCACACTTAGCTGTCATTCAGCTGAAATGCCTTCGATGAAACCATCAATCTGAATGGGTCTTTTGATTACCCGTTTAGATAGATTGCCACCTTTTTCATCATGAATTGATTCTCGGTCGATTGGACGATGATGATTGAGGCTTATTCAATGGGAACGAACGTAAGGCTTTGTTCCCAATGCAGTTTTTATGGTTCAATGTCAGGTTCAGCGCTGTTTTATTCTCTTCCGTGCTTTGTCCATAGGCATTGAACGATGTTACAGCCTTGCCGCTTCACTGGTCGTAAATTCCCTGTATTGTTTGATCATTTCCATCTTTCTTTCTCTTTCTTCTGTTTTCCTTGGCTCCTCTACGGAATGGTTTCTATTTTCCGACTGAACTGGTTTACTTATTTTTGCTACCTGGCCCAGCCAACAGTCGCATACCATGGGGATCGAACCCTGGATGGACAACACCCCATGTAAACCGAACCTTCCTTCCTTCTGGAGGTGAATTGGACCGGGTTCGTTCAAGAGGACGAAAGGACTGACTTATCGGCTGACCGCCGGAAGTCATTGTATGAGCCAAATACTCTACGAAACACCCTAAGATTCCGAGTAGTGGTCGAATGCATGGGTGCATACCAAAAGCAAGCTGTTCAACGCTGGGAAACTTCTTTTCCCCTTCGACCATAAGGTTTCAATCTTTCTTATTTTTTTGTGTAGCTAGATCTAATCTCTAACTACCGTACTTCACTGGTTCCTCGTGAAGAATCCACAGATTGGGAGGCCATGAAGTAAGTGTCCTTAACTTGATGAAGAATGAACTCCGTATTCTGACGAGTTATAGCCCTTAGATTTTTAGAGACAGTGGCCCAGTCAGAACAGAAAACTACCGTTCGCTCAATCTCCTGACTGTTTTGTCGTTTCTCACGATTCCACTGATGACGACAGCTGGCAGAAGATTTATAGGAGAAATGACTTCGGAGACAAAACATGAATTCTTACAAAAAAAGCTCAACGGCTGACGACTGAATCTAACCAACCCGCCTTTGTTTTCGCCTTTTCATGTGTCTTTTCTAGAAAACATTCATCAATGGTTATGTTGTTGATTTGTTTGCTTTCACGTATTCACAACAGCTATCGACCCTGATAGCTAACTGTAAGGAAAATAACTAAATAGTTGTGTGGTCGTAAAATGTCTTATTGTTTAGAAGATCAAAGACATGGCTAACCGGACCGATTCCCTTTCGGTTTACGCTGTGAACTTGGCCTCGTAGAAACGATTAGCTGCAATTGTCACTTGCGCAATGTTCTTCGAGCTCAAGCAGTGTTTGTTACCAATCCCTCCTACAACCGTGGTGCTACCTGGTACGAGTGAAAACTGATTCACTCGAGCAGATTCCGTTTTCTCCGAAGTGAACCGTGTTTTCGCGCTATGGTAAACTTCCTAAGGGATAAGTGATGTTGAAGTACCAAGTGGTTACACTAGACAACAGTGCGAATCAAACAGGGATGGAACTCTGTTCGGGGCAAGGGGCTGTTCCTTCCGTCTCTTTGGGGTTCCTTGAGCTATCTAGCCAATCGAAGATGCATTCAGCCACTGGACAGAAGACAAGTACACGGCGCATTCCAAAAGAGTTTGACAGCTTTACACTATCCGTGGCCTTCCCGAGCTCTCATTTTAGGTAATCCTTCTCCAAATCTTTTTGTGGGTTTGTTAAAGTTTCGCACTTTGGATGGCTACATGGTTGAGGCCCATCTGAAAGGCTAGGAACGCATCTTGAATGGAACTGCAAGCCTTTTTTGGTAACTGAGTTAAGGAACTTGTCCCAATCTTGATTAATTTGCTTCGAACCAGAATTTTCCATTAACTAAGCTTCGTCTTTTTCCCAACTGTTACACTCTAAAAGTAAACAACAAAATGCATAACTGGTAATGCCAGTTATTCGAAGCAGTCCATGGCGTCAGAAGAAATGGAAACTTGCTGAAATTGAAAACTTTTCGTTATAAATTAGTCATCGCCGATTCTTCCCGTGCCACTTGAAAATGTTTATGACGCCGATGCCGCGCTTTCTCTCGACTCGCCACTTGACTTCACTACAAATCGTTGACAACCGGTAATAGGAGGGGCTACGTATTATAAAATTAAACCTGAGGTTGTTTGTCAGTTGCATGACGGAAGTGTGCCACCTCTCTTTTCTTCACATTGAAATGGCTGGAATTTCCGCTCCACAAAAGCTAATAAAAATCCAGTTGAAAACCAGAATCTTACAGTAATTCTTCTTACAGTAGTAATCATTCGTACATCCTTACTGTACTGTTAGTCGTAGAATGCTACCGGACAAGACCTATCAATCGCTCACTTAAAGTAGGTGAAGCAATACGAGGTTACGGTAGGAACTTTGATCCAAACTGAATTTTTGTTCTGGGATTGCAAAACCGAAGCCTTTCCAACTTTTCCACATCCAGCGGGAGAATTTTTTTTACTATAACCCCTAACAGCAACAGTTTTCCCTTCTAACCTACCTGTTCTAGTAGTGCCGGTATTGAGTAAGGCGATTGGGCAAAACAATATTGCTGGACTGCCCCTCTTGCNCCCCCCCCCCCCCCCCTCTCTTACCCCTTCCCCCTTCCTCCTGCTCCCTCCAACTTCCTTCTCCCCTTGAAAAAGCGCTGATCTGCTTAGACTTAGAGTTTGAAGTGCATATTGGCGTTGAGAACCATTCAAACTCACAAAATCCAAATAAAAAATATTTTGAAAGCTAAAATTAAACGATTCAAAATTTAATAACTTCAACTTGACTGCTATATTCTTTGCTCAAAGTCTAAGATGAATAAGAAAGGCTCCGATTTTCTTCAGAAAATATACTCAAACCGTCCTGTAAGGCTACCACCTCGAAACGCCCTAACCACTACTCTACGCTATCATTAACCATGGGCTAAAGCCGCGTTGACCACAGATAAGGGGGATAGGGTTTCATAAAGAACTCTCCCAAGAAACCGGTGCTCTGGTCTGCAATTACAGCTATCCTATATTGGTTCCAGGGTTAGGAGGTCTTCAAAAACGGAATTACGACAAGGATAGCTTGTCTCCAAGCAAGCAATGCCCGTAATACTTAATAATATGTCACGAAACCGGTTCAGTTCGTCTCCTTTCACATAAATTTGTGTTTGTCATTATAAAACTGCTGTACAACGCCATCCTGTGACTTTGCGAACAAATTGAGAACAGTCACTATCCTTCCTTCCTCACTAGGGCAACTTTACGAGAACAGTCACTGTCCTTCCTTCCCTCACTAGGGCAACATTACACTACTGAGATCCAAGCCTTATCGATCCCAACTCTGAAAACTCCTCAGTCATTTCCTCTTTCGAATCCTCTCTGCTTTGTTTTTGTTTACTTATTTGCTCAGCTTACTTATTACTTTTTTTGTGCAGAAAAGCAAAAGAAATTGACACCTCTCTATGAGCCTCTCCTGAGACATCTGTCACCTTCCCATGTGGCATAATCCATTGCCCATATGCCCAAAGCGATGCAGGATCTTCAATGGGCAATTGGTATATGCAGGATCTTCAATGGGCAATTGGTATATCACATGGGCACAAAGCAATGATTTGCAGGAACAGGCTCATATAGCAGTTTCTGAATAGATTATATATGTTCTTGTACTATGTCATGGCTATAATACTTGATAGCTTAGAAAACCTTCACATAACGGATGCTTCCAATCAGAATTTTGTGCAGGGGACCGACCGGTTTGTAAGGAAGCGGAAAAATGCTTTCCTTATTCCTAATTCCGTTTCTGCCGTTTATTCTCCTGGAGCTAGCCTAGAGCGTGTATATTTACCCCTATCCCAAACGTTACTGCATAGTAAGCTTGAAAACTATCTCTTTCAGCTGCCAAGTGAACCGGCAAATTATCATTATGTAAATTTTTATCTGTACAATTTCCGGATGTGGTGTAGTGGCAAGTGGCGCACTTCACACATGCATGGTGTCGGGTTCAAATCCCGGATCAATATCCGCCTAGGCTAACCAAGCCTTCCATTTCTCCGGAGTCGGTTGATTGGTACAAGACTCGACTGGGGGGATAAGAGTACCGACTTGTACATTGGCTGACCA